ATGTTAGTACATGTTTTGAATCATCACCAAGCTCATTGGAGTATGTCTTTGTTAAGATTCGAATTCAATATCACTTATTAGCCAAAAAAATAATAAGGTTTATTTGATGCCATTTTTAGACATTCTTATCTTACACCAAAAGAAGAAAAAGTAGCTTTTGACCAACAAAAGATAATTTTATTGAAGCCAAAATAATTTCATCTCCGAGAAATGAAATCAACATTGACTATTGATTTGATTTTTTTCAAGCACATCCAAGCAAGTATATCCTTAGATCTTCTTGTTCATGATATTAAAAACAATTCCTCTAAGTCTCAAGATACTTCTAAATTTGAGTTTAAAGAGAACCTATTTTATTTTGAAGGATGCTTATATATTCCAAAAAGAAAAGCACAATTACGTGCTCTTGAAGCTCATCACAATTTTCTTACAGCAGGACATTTTGAATATAATAAGACTTTGGAGCTTATATCTAGAGATTTTTGGTGGCTTCAAATGTAGAAGTTTTAAAGAATTTGTCCAAATATGTGATGTTTGTTCGAGATCAAAAATTCCTCATTATTGACCTTATAGACTCCTCTAATCATTACCTATACCAGAACAACTATGGTCTTTTGTCTCTATCGATTTTGTCATGAATCTTCCAATTTCAAGTTCATATGATTCCATATTCGTGATTGTAGATCATTTCACCAAGATCGCATATTTTGTATCATATACAAAATCCATCACAAGTGAAAGAATAGGTAAACTCTTCCTTGACAATATCTATTGCTATCATGGATTACCAAGAGATATCATATCAGATGAAAGAACACAATTTTTAGTAAGATTTTTGAGAATTCTTTTTAAGATATTAAAGGTGGATATAAAACTATCTTCGGCTTTCCATCCTCAAATTGATGGACAAATAGAATGGATGCATCAAGTTTTAGAGTAGTATTTGAAGTAAACCATCAACTATCAATAAGATGATTGGACAACTCTTTTGCCATTGGTAGAGTTTGCTTACAATAATTCAATACATTCTTCTATGCAACAAATACTTTTCTTTATCAATTACCGTTATCATCCATGATTTGACACTTTTGACTTTTTAAAAGTTGATAATCCTATGGCGGAATATGTGGCAAATCGATTATCACAACTACATGCAACAATGAAGGCACAATTAAAAGAAGCTCAAGAATGACAAAAAGGCAACGCAGATGTCTATTGCAAAGAATAACCTCAATTCCACGTGAGAGATAAGGTATAGTTACTTTGTCATAATATTAAAACTATTTATCTTTGTAACAAGTTGGATTATCATAGGCTTGGACCATTTTCCATTTGTGAACAGATCAATTCAGTTACTTATTGATTACATCTATTGGAGTCTATGAAAATCCATCATATGTTCCATGTATCTTTACTTCAGCCATACAAGACAATGGATATGCAAAGAAGGAGACAAATGCCACCACTTCCTATAGAAGTGGATAATAATGAAGAATTTAAGGTGGAAGAAGTTTTAGATTCAAGGCAGCGCCAAAATAGATTAGAATATCTAATACATTGGCATGGATATGACATTAATGAATGGACATGGGAGCCATCCAAGAATTTAACAAATGTATCAATCAAAGTTAAAGCTTTTCATCAAGGACATCCATCAAAACCAAGATAAAGAGTCAAAAAATTCTTTGCTATAAAGTAAAGTAAGCCCAATAGAGATTTCATTCTATCTTGTATCATTATTTTTTTAGATTTTTTAGTACTTAGGAGATGGAAAATCAACAACTACCAAATTCAATTCAAGAACTAACATTTGCTAAGCTACCAAACGAGACATTGTGACTATCACAACCTTCGAGATGGCAAAATGGAGATGAAGACCCTCAAGAATAATATGTTCTTTCTCAAATAGATGGTAAGATACAACACGTTTGGTACCACGAGCTTGGAAGGGACTTCCAATATTTAGTCATACTTTTGGAGATAGGAACCACTCTTGATGGTATTACTAATGTTTTATTTAAAGGAAGTTATGAAGACCTCAATAATGATCAAATATCAAGGTGGTCTTCTTCCCTTGGTATGAGACATTATCAATGGTTGAAGAAACCTATCAACTACCTTCAAAGGGAACAAAGATCAAAGTATATGGCAAATATAGTTCTGTGCATCTTGGACTTCATCTACATGTAATCATCGCTCCTAGTGGAACTCATCTCTAGAAGGAGGAATAATATCACCGACATACATATTTATCTTGATAATTATTTAGATAATAAGAATAGGTAGAAGTAAATCAAAATATATAAATATGATAATATCTTGTAGAAAGCTTCTTAGAAACTTTATAGACACTGCTTTGTCTTTATATATGTCTATAGGTGATTGGTAGGTTGAAAACTTGGCCAAAAAGGAGGCCATGTGTTGACATGTTTACCACTTGTAGTACAAGTTGGACATATGGCATATACTTAAGAAACTTGCCTTGCAAATTAGACATGTATCCTCTAAGTTGAACGCTTATTAGAGGTCCTATAGCATACCGCCATGTATTCCTTAGTTAAGTAGTATATATAGATACAAGAATGAGGCCTTTCTCACTCTTGTCAACTCCTTTTTTGATTTTTAGTCTAGTTTCAAGAGTCTTATGTTTTCTAATCTTTGGCAATAGCCATTCCAGTTCTTCCCTTGATATACATACTTTCTTTTATTTTTTCACTTTTCTTTTGATATAGATTCCATGACTTTATGCATCTTCTTCCAATTTGTGTCCTTGACAATAATTCATGTTCTTATTTCTTTAACAAAAAAAATATATTATTCTTATATTATTTAAAATTGAATATATTATTTTATTTTTTTTTGTTTTTAAAAGATTGTGAACTATTCATCTATAAAACTAATAAAAAAAAATATTATTAATTTTTTTAAAATAGAATAAGCTATCTTTTCATGTGTAAATATTTATTTAATATTAAAAGTTGTAGATTACCATCTTCTATTTGACTTCTAGATTTACTAAAGTCGTATATTATAGAGATGGAAGAAAAAAATTGGATACTACACTTGATAAAGCAAGAATTGATTTGCAACTATTGCATATCTTCACAAACTTATCAATACTTTTAGCTTGAAAATCTCTTATACTATCAACATCAACTATAAAAATATTATTCTTATACTTATGGAATAAGTAAACAATGAAAATAAATATCTATACTAAGAAATTGTGCAGTAGAAAGAAGCAAGTACATCAACCTCAAAATTAAATCTAAGGGGTTTTACTACTACAAATTTAAAGAAGACAAGGATTAGTATGTCAAAGCAGTTTGACAAAATAAGATCAAAAAAATTGAGGATTTCTACATTAAGTTAAGTTTTGTTTAGAGTTGTATCATTCCCAATATCTTAATGGATTTATTCAATTTAGATTCATAAGTGTACTTCTATGTAGAAGTGATCTTTTTTGATTCACACTTTTAATGGAAAAGGATTCATGACTCTTAAATGATCAAAATTTATTTTTGGAAGTGTTTACGGCTATACATGGAAAAAGTGATTGAAAAAAGGTAGTAGAGACCAAAATTTTATCTTTATAGCAATAATCACAATCAACTATCATATATATATATATATATTAATGAATTTTAAAACCCCGCTTGCGATATGGATTGGAATGATAAAGTCCTTCTCAATTAATTTTGAACGGTTTAAAAAATAAAGTAAAATAGTTAATATTAATAAAGCCAAAAGCAATTTCATTGAAACAATTTATTGTTTAAACAGTTAAATTTTTGAAAGACACTAAGAACAAAGATTTGATTGGAGAAAAAAACTCAAGTTAAAACAACAATTCCTAAAATTGAAATCAAACTTAGAACATTAATTGATAAATTCGTATTAAAGAATTTAGAAGATTCATTTTTAAAATAAATATTTTTAATATCCTTGTTATCTAAAAAATAAATAAATACATATAATATTATAGAATTTATCTTTTATTTTTAATTAATTATAATAATAGTTATAATAACATTGAATAAAAAAACTACATTTCTTTTATAATAAAAATTGATTTTAGATAATAGTAATAGAAAGAATCTAATTTAAACTTTAAATTTATTTTATACTATATATATATATATATATATATATATATATATATACTTCTTTTTTATTAAAAAAATCTATATTTTTTGAGATTTTTTTTTTAATTCTATGTCAACTAAAAAGATGTTAATCTGGTGTCTATACAATTCTTTGCTTTAAGTATTAGTAGACACATTTTTCATGTTTGTGCTTTAAATAATAAACATTGAAGAAGATGGCACTATTTAAAAATATTCAATGACTTTATGTGTATAAATCATATTATAAATATTAATTAATAAAAAGACTAATTAATGTAGCATCTCATCAAAGATTAACTTGGTAAACATATTAAATATTTTAAAAATATATCTAAATTTGAGTTAATATATTTCTTAATATATACACTTCGTTAATTTGAAATAAAATATCAAAACATGAGTTTAGGCATCATTAAATCGACTAATTTTAAAAATAATGGAATGAATATTTTTAATAGATATATATATATAGATACATATGTAAATACACATATGCGAATTGTAAGATTTAAATGCCATTTCACAATGGACGACGAAGAGGATGACATACATCGCCCTCCCTACAGAAGTGGAGTTGTGCCCATGTCGTGCTTGCCTCTCTCTCCAAGTGGATACATGATCTTTACACTCATAGCCACTTGGTAAGCTTACGTGGAGCCACTATGCCACCTCAGCAGCACACATGTTGCACGCATACCTCTGGTGGCCCTCATTCATTCATTCCAGTCGCAAATGCGGTGGAAAGCAGCCCATGATTCATGCAACTCTCGAACTTCATTTACATGATAGGACCAATGTTGCAAGTGCCTGGGCTGCCGATGCATTCTGAACGAGGAGGAATATCAGTTGCTGCGGTGCAGAGACGACGTGATGGAACATGAAGCAAGAAATAAAATTCCCAGCTTTAGGTGGGTCTTTCATGTTTTAGATTACCAAATAGGTGCAAATGATGCACGAGCGTCACAGCCTGACGAACATTACAACACACATATATTGCGTAATTGGAATCGCTCATAGCTAAGGTGGTCACTTTTCTCTCACAATTTTAATTACAACAATGCGCTGAACTGTTTGTACCCTCGACGGCTACTGAGATGTGCAGTGGCAACTGTAATATAGTACAAACGAGATGTTACAAGGTAGTGTCAAAATTTCTAAGCTTCGTCTTGATGTTCATGTTCTATATATACACGGTTGGTTCAGGTAGCCGCTTTTTCTCTTTGGGAGAACTTTGTGTGCCTGCAGGTCATTCTCATATCGAAGTTGAGAAGTGATCGTCTTTCGCACTGAAATCCTCCTTTATGACAGTGTACAAAAATATGTTCAACTCCAGCAGCAGCTTTAGGCTGTAGCTTATTTTACATAGATACGTAGTGTGGTTCGCAGTCATGCCGTCGTTTCCAACTTTGAGACGCTCCAAGCAAAATTCTGCAAACCGGAATCTTTCGAGTTAGCATTCAACAGCCCTGGGACTTTTTTACAAAATGCAATTTATAAACCTGAGAATTTTCTAGAAATTGAACTGCACACATCAGTCGCGGATTCCTATCACATATTTGAAAGAAACAAGCCTGACGTGTGTTTTCTTTTTTTCTTTTTTTCTTTTTTAACTTACCAGTAGTACTTCAGGAATCCAGTCTTTAAACTGGATCGATGTCATGCACCACTACTTCACTAGGAACCATGCTGCAACATATGTACGTCGATTGTTGTCTAAAATTATGTACAATGAGGAAAACAATTCACTGTTGTTGGCCTAAGCGGTGTGTCGGTGTCCAGGAGCTCAAAAGAATGGAGCCCGCACTGGATGGCACTGTTTCCGAGAATGCATTCTTGGAGACAACTCACTGGACCTCTCGGGCGTGGACGGGCCATAACAATCAATCCAGTCGTGTCCGAAAGCTGCTCCAGAGCCCAGAACCGACATTGGAGAGAAAGGGCAGAGTACATCCTCCAAAGTTTTCTGTCTCTTGAAAGGAGGCATCTCTAAACCGGAAAGACTCGTCTCCTGTTCACTCCCCTGTCTCTTCGGCGTCGAAGGAGAGAAACTCGTCGTCTCATGATTCGCGGAATCAGTTCCATCAGTGATTGAAAGTCGAAGATATCCACAGGAACCGCCCTTCCGAGCTCCTCCTTGAACGCTTTGAAATTCGGTTGTGGGAGACAACTTCAGCTCGGTATCTTGCTCAGATGCATCCTGAATTGCGACCAACTTGCAGTTGATGGAGCAGAATCTGACCTGGTCCGCAAGACTGCGATGGCAGGTATCGCAATATGTAGCTGCACCTTTGCACAATTTCGGCTGCGGTCGACTCTGCAGAAAGACAATCTTAGCGCCGTTGATAGTATATGGTTGAATGTTGGAGAGGTCGAGGTACTTCTGCATGTCGGTAATGCGAACCACGTCTCGGTGGGAAGCTTTTCGCACTTGGATAGACATGTGACCAGAATGCGACTGGCTTAGCCCTTGAGGACAGTAAGGCCCCGAGCAACAGGAAAGACAGAATTGGTTCTTCTCGTGTTTGCCAGTAGTATGCTTCTTACAATGCCCGAAAAACTCTGTCTGAAGCAGGGGCGACAGCCACACTGGACCTTCTCGCAGTGATCCACAACTTGACTGCTCCAATTCGGCCATGGATTTTCTAATTGGGATCCCTTACTATTCTACTCTAGCAAGAAGATAATTCAGTCCTCGGATCGTCGGATGATATCCGAAACGTCCTGCTCAGTAATCGAGAATCAACCCCAGGCTCGGGCAATAAGTTAATTTGAAAGGAACTTCAAAATGCAGAATCCGCTCACCAAGTTTCAATGTTGCTGTACAACCGCATTGACTCAGATCCAACCCTGACAAATCTTCGAATTATATTCAAGGACATCACCCAGTCACCGATCGCACAGACTACAACATTCAACTAAGCCAATTTTGTACCAAATCAGAACCGAATCCATACTAATCTGTGAAATGAACTACTTCTGCTGCTGCTACAACGAGAAGAGGGAGCAATGAGAGATGCACAGGCGCATGCAGCAACAGAGGGAATTGTGATGTGCTTAACTTGGACAGCCGCACGCTTAACTTGGATCCTCCGTAAAAAGACGGCAACGTGGCGGCACGAAACGCAGTGCGAAATGCTGCAGGCAGAGCCCGCTTCGTTGCGGCTCCACCGAGCGACCGCGGGCAGCGATGTTGCTTCTTCGACGCCCCTTCTCCTTAATTGCCCTTCTTCGAATTAAAAGGATTTATGAGAGAACCGACTCTTTCGCACTCTCTCATTGTCTAATTTACAAATGTACACGTCTGTAAACTTCATGTGAGGAGGATTGTCGAGCGAGGGTTATATGACAGACAATAAAATAAAATAGAAACAATAAATCCGTTTAATGGGTACTTTTCTTATGTAGAACATTAACATAAATTCACATGAATGTTTGTGAAAGACATCTCGAAAGACATCTGAAAAATGAACATGAGGAAGTTTAACGTATGTTTGAGTCATTTTTGAGTGGTTCAAGAGTGACCATCCTGTTGCATTAGTGTGTGTTAGCAATTTAAATCACCCTTAATAGCGCATGTTTTATTTATATATTTATTTATTTATTTTGTGGCTGCATGGTCACAGCAACCCCAGCATAAAATGCCAGGTGGATTTTGGGCACCCGCCAAGTGTCACACTCCCAGGCCTGGCAAGCAAGCAGCCGTGTGGCGCCCGGAGCTGCTCGGCGCCTCGTAAGGTCAGCCTGGAAAGCTCTCGTTGAGCACTTTTCCGCTTCCATGACGATCCTTGTGAACGCCACACCTTTGTTTATTTGTATGTATGTGTGTTGTGCAGTTCAGCGGAGGACTGGGTGTTGTTTTTGTTGTTGTGATCCTCATGGTATACCCAGGTGACGTCGACAACCACCTGGCTCAGGAATCCTTTGGATTCGCGACTGTCCCTCTCCGCGGCCACCTATGCCAGCATCGACGAGCTTTTGACTGACACCTTTGGATTCCGGATTGTCATCCTCTCCAGCCACACTGGGTCAAAATGCTAGCTGGAGGCTTGCGCGTTAAAGCTGGAATCCCACACACTGAAGTGGCAACGGAATATTCCGGAAAGTCTGTCCAGGAGTTTTTTTTTTATTTTTATTTTTATTTTTTTATTAAGCCCTGTTTGGCCTTCTGTAAAGTTAGTTGTGACCTCGGGTACGTTTTAATCAGTTAAAATGAGTTTGATTGTGCTTTGGTATCAAACCTGAGTTTGGGGTCACTCCTCCTGAATGTGGTTCCACGTCATCTGCCTGGTGGTGCACTCTCAATATGCCTAGTTGGACCGGTTCACGTAGTGATCGTCCCTCTAATGCAAGATGCAACAACCCTTTTTGTCGCAAACTTCACACAGGACTTATTGTTGGTCATGGACCATCAACACAACAAGAGACCAGACACTGGTTCAGATCGGACAACACAATATCATTCCGCGAAAACCGGCAGTGCAAAGGGCTTGGCTCAGATGTTCACAACCAAGCTTCATCCACAAATCGGCAACAGCCAACCTTCAAGGTCGGCAAAGCTGTCCGATGCAGCCAACAACTGCGATCAGTTCTGGGAGCACAGCAATGTCGACAAGGCTGTGCGACAAGCCACCACACAACGTCTGGAAGCAGCTATTCAGCGAGCAAGTGGGCGAACCTTCAAAGTGGCGTGCTCTACACGTCATACCCGAATTCATATAAAACGTCAACACAAGCCCCAAAAAACAAGTGGACACACGATGATACCCTAAAGGATGTGGCTGGAGGCGGCCACCTTATCAGCTCCGCAGCTAGTGGAAGCCAAAGTTAGGGAGGAATCTGAGAGCACCGAGCCCCACAATAACGATGAGGAAGGTGGGAGCAGATAAAAACAGAGTGCGGAGAAATCCACTGATTTGCCAGCTTTGAGTGGCGCAGCAGTTGCATGGGAACCCACCTGACCCACTCACTCACTCACTCACTGAGTTGGCTCAGCACAGCAGAGAGAGAGTGAGAGAGAAAGAGAGAGAGCAATCTGATCTGATCTGCTCTGAGGCAGGCAAACAAAGGTTATGATCAAACCCAGAGTTCATGGAAGGAGGGCTCTGGGTGTTTGCAGAAACTGAGTTGGGAACAAGCCATTTCAGACACTCACACAAAATGAGTGTGTGTGTGTGTTCCTTCCTGGGTGCAGTCTGGACTGTCCTTGCAGAGTCTGGGATTCTTGTATAGTTTTAAAAGCATATTATGGATGTATGTGTGTGTGTGTATATTTATGTATGAATGTATGTAAGTAAGTTTTTTTTTTACCATGCTTTTTATTTTATTTTATTATTATCAATGTACAAGATGTTTGATTGCTTTGGAAGGAAGACAACAACCTCTGTTTTATGTTATAATTAACAATTATGACAAATGTTAAGTTATTTTATAATAGGATTCTTTGGTCATTAGATGAAATTTTTGTTTGCATTTGGTAGGATCTAAACATATTTAATGATTGGCAACTCTTCCTTGAACTTATGAGACCATAGTTATCTTGAGCCCCATAGAGCTCCTTAGGCAAGTTTCTTTAAGTGATGCTCTTATAAAGGTGGCCAATTATTTTTTGTGTGCATATAAACTACTAGGTTCCTATCACGGACATAATCATGTAAGCTAGTAATTACATATACAAATATGTAGAAGTAAGTAAAAGTAGGTAAAAGTAAGTAAATTCTATAGTATTTAATATAGAAGCTTCCTAGAAGCTTCATAGATGCTGCTTTGACTTCATAGGTGTCATTAATTGACTTTTTGGATTAGAAACGTGGTCAACAAGTGGGCCATGTGCCACACATGTTGTTAGCTTGAAGATCAAGCTAACTATGTGGCCCACACGTAGAAAAACTTGCCTTATAAGTCAAGGCATGTGTCCTACAAAGTCAACACATATTGAAGGTCCTATAGAACGTCGCCATGTAGCCCCTAGTTAGATAGTATATATAGAGACAATAGTGAAGCCTTCTTCACTCTTGTCAACTCCTTTCTTGCTTCTAGTCTAGTTTCAAGGGTCTCTAGTTTTCTTGTCTTTTGGCAATAGCCATTCCAGTTTTTCTTTCAATATATATCCTTGTTTATATATATTTTGTTACCTCTCTTTGAGTGAAAGCTCACTTGTCTGAATTTTTTTTTCATCGAGTTCTTGTCCTTGACAGATTGACAAGAATACACCTACAATATCAGAGCTTTATTTAATCTTGATTAAGAGTGGATTATCCCTTTTTCTTGATAAGATATAAGCATATAAGAAGTTACGGATTACCCTCTTCTAAATTGATATTGTCTTTAGTATTTTCTTTATTCTCAAGTCCTCTCTTCTATTTGTCTTCAGCAATATTAGACATCTTCTCTCTTCTAAGTGTTATCATGGCAGAACTTGTTGAAATGAAGAGTGCAATGGCACAAATGCAAGAGCAATTGACGGAGTTAATGCTTGTGATGCATCAATTCAATTTACCACCACAAGGAGCAACAAGATTGACAGGAAGTAAAGATATAAAAATGATTGGAGCTGCTTCAACATCTGCACCAAACCATGTCCTTTCTCCTATGGTGGAACGCCCTTCAAATGTTAGAGAACCAAGAATTGTCCTATCCGAGAAGTTTGATGGCACCAGATCCAAGTTTCGAGGATTTATCAATCAAGTGAAACTTGTGTTTGAACTTCAACTCCAAAGCTATCCAACTCTAGGATCGCAAGTTAGATTCATTGGTACGCTTCTTTCACGTTCAGCACTGTTGTGGTTTTCATCTTTTCTTGAATGACGAGATCCAATATTGGATAATCTAGAGGCTTTTTTGGCGGAGTTTTGATCCATGTATGGAGAACATGATGCTATTCGTGTTGCAACCAATAAGATCCGTATTTTACGATAAAACAATCGATCAGTAACGTTATATGCTTCACAATTTTGACAACTTGCAACTGATATCAAGTGGGATGATGCTGCACTTATTAGCCAATTTCTCTACGGGTTACAATATGAGGTAAAAAAATTAATGCTCAATTTACCTGATCCTCAAACATTGAGTCAAGCAATTGACTTTGCTGTGAAGTGCGACAATCGCCTTTTTGAATTTCGATCTGAGAACCATACAAGTAGACCTCAACGTTAGTATAATTCAATGGCAACACCAACACATCTTCAACACATACATTCGGAAGTAGAGGATATGCAAATTGATGCAGTACGTTTCAAACCTCTTATTGACCAAGAAAAGACTCATCATCGTCAAGAAGGATTATGTTTATATTGTGGAGAACCAAAGCACACTGCACAACATTGTCCAAAGAAATGACGCAATCACAAAATGAGGAGTATGGCTGTGAAAGAAGACAATATGTCGAAAAATGAGTTTCTCCAACTACAATAGGGACCGTGCGGCTGGAACCTTGCACAACATCTAATAAAGGTCATATTCTCTCCTTAGAGCCCTCTCCTTGTTTTACATTAAATGTTATTTTAGGACCTAAACATTACAAAGTCTCTACCTTGTTAGATTCAGGAGCCTCAGCTTGTTTTTTAGATAAAGAATTTACTAAAAGACATAGCATATCTTTAGTAAAGAAAACTAAACTTGTTCATGTAGAAGTCATAGATGGTCGTCCATTGTCTTCTGGAGATATTACTCACAAAACCCTTCCTATAGAAGTAATAATCAATGGTCATAATAATTTTGCAGTATTTAATATCATTAGATCTCCCTCTAATCCAATCATTTTAGGTTTATCGTGGTTAGAAAAATACGACCCTCAAATAGATTGGATGTCTCGAATTCTTACTTTCTCTAAAAGTATAACTAACAGTGTAATTAATCAAGTAGAGAGTCATAAGTCCAGTTCAATTAAACCCGTATTTATAGGTGTAAAAATTTTCTTGCATGCTGCTATGAAAGAATCACCATATATTATTTATGCCACACCTGTTTCTACTGGTGAAAAAACTTCAAGTGGCATTCCAAGCCAATATCAAGAATTTCAAGATGTATTTAAAAAAAAGAATGTAGATTCTTTCACCATCAATCCCTATGATTGCTCAATTGACCTTCAAGAAGGAGCACAACAGCCATTCGGACCAATCTACAGTTTATCACAAAATGAGTTGGCTGAACTCAAGGAGTATATTGAAGAAAATCTAGCCAAGAATTTCATACACCATTCTAAATCTCCGGAAGGAGCTCTAATTCTATTTGTGAAGAAAAAAGATGGATCTTTGCGGATGTGTATTGATTATCGAGGACTCAACAAGATTACCATCAA